AACTGGGATGAGAACTAAAATAATATTTTTTTTTTTTTGTTTGTAGAATTGCTGTTCAGTTTCTGGAAACTGTCAAGCCAACCTTAATGTTTATTATGCATTTTTTTGTATTTTTCCAGAGCTGCAATGAATAACATTCAGCAATTGATTATGATTTTAAACTCAGCAACTGATAAACCGTCAGATACTCTCATCATATATTTCAATGTAAGTGACGAGAAGGAAGATTTGTGAAAGATTCTTGGAATTATCACTCAAGTAAAATATACACCTGTAGATCTGATGCACATGTTTTGGGAAACTCCTTTATTAACAACCATTTTTTGAAGAAGTGCATTTTAATTGGGATGGTTTAAATGTAATTACTTATTTTAGAAAGCACTTCTATCTAACTGATGTGTACTGGAACCTACAAGTTCTTAAATATTTTTGTTACTGTGCTAAATAGTAAGATTTATTTATGTATGTATCAGATGGAAAAAGAAGGGGATATAAAAGGGAGATAAAGAAGAGGAGGAGGATGTCCACATTCAGCAACTTAAGCATATTTTTAACTTTGAAGACATTAACGACAGTGATACTACTCGCATGTTAGTTGGGTTAGTTGTAGCTTGTTGCATGTGAGACATGAAGTTGTAGTTGCTGGAAATTGTTGAATGTCTACAATAATTCTATCTTTTTTTAAATTCTCCACTTTTATTTATGCTGATGAGCTGACTGAGAGATGTTATAAAATGAAGCAGGACTAATGTGATTAAATCATTAAAATGTTTTTGAAGTAAAATGTCCTTTCTTTGCCTTTCCTTCCCCTGCCCTCCCTCCTGTACTTTTAGAATTGCACAGTGAACCCTAAGGATAGTATCCTGAAAAGAGTGGAAAGTCTTGACCACATCTTCAAAAAGAAATTTGCTGAAGCAGTTGGACAGGGATGGGCTGAAATTGGCTCACAGGTAATTTTTGTTGAGTATTACTCATTTGAACTCTGTTGGTGCTAGCTAATATGAGACCTGACTTGCTGGCTGTCCTCCTTCAGTGCAGATCAATAATGGTAAAAAGTAACTATATTCTTTTCAACTTGAGGAATGGACAGGTATTTTTTTCTGAAGTGCTGTAAAGATAGTATTCAACAAATTATTCTTAATATAAAAGGAGCAATAGGAACGGTATGGAAATATGTTGGGAATACTTTTACGAAGAATGGGAAAATTGCTGAGCACAATACATTTAGTGAAATATATATTTGCATTCATTAAGGTAACAACCTAAAACTGCAAAAGGTGACTCACTTCCTTACAAAATCAGTAGGCCGGCTGTGCTTTCAACAAGGACTTTTGGAAAACAAATCCAACCAAGTTTGTACTCTGCAATCTCCTGTCAGTCAGCCCTGCTTTTTATCCTGTTAGCTGTGAATCAACATAAACACTCGATTAAGTCTTCATGTGGTTGGGGTAGTCACAAACTTTGGTAGCCTTTGAGGCCTCCCCAGTGCTATTGGCAAATGGAACTGAGGACAATGACTTCTTTTTAGTGGCTCTTCCAAAAAACAGAAGTGTTCCAAATTGTTAAAACATGAGAGTCTGCCTGTTGTAGTCTGTTAAAACTTCTTGTAATATTCTTTAATTTCTTATTTTTTAACAGAGATATAAGCTTGGAGTACGTCTATATTACAGAGTAATGGAGTCTATGCTAAAGTCGGTAAGTTTAGTACTGGTAGCTTAATACTGGCATTGCATTTACAAATACTAAGAATATTCACAAGTTTGGTTTGATTTATATATTTCAGGAGGAAGAGCGCCTCTCAGTGCAGAATTTCAGGTATGTGCCCCTAACTTGTTACTAAATGTGTTTTTTTAGTGTTAGGACAAGTATTAATAACTTTCTTTCTCCTTAGCAAACTTCTGAATGATAACGTCTTCCACACATCTCTTCTGGCATGTGCTGTTGAGGTTGTCATGGCTACATATGGCAGTAAGTTGAATCTAAAGTCCTAAATAGCATTGTTATTTATTGATAATTATTGCCATTTGTTCTAATACATAAAATACAGTAAACAGCAAAAAAAAAAAAAGTGCTCATTGAAATTTCTGAACTAGCAATGATTCAATAAATACAAAAAGGGAAAAACATCAGAAGTGAAAGAATGTAGTACTCTTGATAATTTTAGTCTGTTTTCCCTGCAGGAAATGCCTCACAAAGTGATGGTACCAGTGCTGAAACAGACTTGTCTTTCCCATGGATCCTCAATGTATTTGATTTAAAAGCTTTTGACTTCTACAAGGTGATTGAAAGCTTTATTAAAGCAGAGCCAAGCCTAACAAGGGAAATGATAAAGCATCTAGAACGCTGTGAACATCGAATTATGGAGTCTCTTGCTTGGCAATCTGTAAGTAATGCTTTAAAGTAGCATTTGTCCTTGTGTAACGGGCATATCTAGAAAAAGGAAATCACACCCAACTTTATAAAATAAGTTGTGGTCTTGCTGAGATTTATTTCTAGCAAAATAAATTACAAGAGCAAAGCAAGATTAGTTTTGGCATGTCTTCAGGTTTTGAAAAAGAGTATATCGGGGGAAGAAGTCAACATAGCTCTGCTGATTTACGTGATTGTAAGCCAGCATCATCTTACTAGTCTGGCATGAATCTTAAGGGTAATAATTCCCTTAAACGGTATTTTGGTGCCAAAGACAAGGCAATAAATTCTATGCTTTTATTTGTAAGTTAATTTTTATCCAGTTGCTATTCCCACTTGGCAACAGGGCCTTAGTTCTGTGCATCTGATATGTTTGTTAATAGTACTGAAAATATTGATTTGCATTGTCCTTTGCGCTTCAGTCACTTTAGTATTTTTGGATGCCATTAAAATAAATGCTGGGAGGTTGGGTTGTTTTTTTAGGCTGGATCTCAGTAAATCAAACATTGTTTCTTTATATTGTATGTTACTTATAAACCAAAAATATGCTATTAATGCCACAAAATAAAAGACTATAAAGACTGTTAACTTTGACCAGAGACACATAAAGCAACCATTTAAGAACCCATCCTGAATCTTACAGTTCTAGGAAGTTTAAAAAACACAGTGCGCCATAGCTAATGGGATAGTTTAATCATGAAGCAAATTTTCTTTTCAGGGTAATCTGCGTTTGGTTTGTGTATGACTTCAGAGTGAAAAGTCAACATTTTTCTAGTATGGGTAATACTTTACCAGGCTGCGGGGTTATACTCCTGGATTTGGGGAATACTGTTGTGCCTGAGCAGCAAGAGCCCCATCCATGTTCAGGTTTCTAGCTCAGAAGCATGCTGGCCTCAGGGGTGCATGGAAGCAATTGCCATGCTTCAGATTGAATCTGGTGGACCGCCTTATGCCAACCAACCCTTGCCACTCGGTTTCCTTTGCCAACACAGTCAATGGGCACATGTCAGGCGGCTCCCTGAATATGCCCTGTTATGAAGGTGACCTTTCCACTGGGGGAGCCAAGACTTGTGTATCCAGCTCCACGCTCATCAGCACGGCACTCTGTGCTCCAGGATTTCTGGTGCAGTGCTATAGCTGCTGTGTCAGAGCGTAAATTTTTCCCCCTGTAATGCTTTTGCATGTTTGTTTGGTGTCTTGGGAAGCGCACATGGCCTCTCCATTGCTGTATGAATTTCTTCATGGTTTTGCCATTTTTTGAATAAGACTGCCTGAAAGCACTTGAGGTTGAGAGCCTTTTACCAGAGCCTACAGAAACAGGGAAAATGAGGCAGTGTTTCAAGAGGCAGGCAGTATTTTAAGAAGCTTGCAGGCATATAAAAAGTGCTTATTTGAGAATTGTAACATTCAGAGGACAAAAGGCAGAGGTACAGATACCCAAGTTTGACGCTCTACAAGCAAAAAGTGGCTCCTGTTACCTTCTGCAAACCAGTTTGAAGTCAGCTTACTGATCATCAATAAGCCGTATCTACCAGTTTCTACACAGTAATTCGAGCTCCACATGCAGATGTCTGATTAGGACTAGTGCTTTCAGAGTGGAAAATCCAAAGCATTGTGTTTTCAAAAATTATGGGTATAGCTGCAGGCTTTTGTGAAACAAATTATAACAACAACAAGCGCAGGATTATTTCAAGTTTTCGGAGTGCTCTGTTTGTACTTTAACGTATTGAATCTGTCTGCTTGAGTTGCCAGCGGTGTATGTTTGGTACTGTTTTGGGGTAGCTTATATAGCCGATTTGAGTGTTAATAGAATAGTTCGGTTGCAGGGGACCTACAACGATTGTCTACTGGCAGTAAGATATGTGGAGTGGAGCACAGTGGAGGGGATAAAAAGAAATGTGCAGTACACGTATCCAAGGGCCCTTCTACTTCATTGACCTGTGCGTCGTGTCTCCCCTGGATCTCCCCAAGCGCAGGACAGTCTGCAGTCTCCTGTTGCAGGAGGTTTGTCACTAGAGGGCACAGCAGGGTTCCCTCAAAAGCTGAGGGAAGCTGTGGCAGCCAGCTGCGGCAGTTGGAGCCAGTGTGCGAGCACCCTGTGATTCTGCACTGGCCTCCATTGCCTCCTCCAGCTGCCCGTAAGGGAAAGGCTGCGAGTTGTAAGCGGCAGACTGCATAGTGGCGGCTCAGGAGACAAGAAGTAGTGAAACATTATCTATGCTAAAATGTCTTGCTGAGTCTTTGGGTCACTGCAGTGAAGGACCTGAGGCCTGTACTTTGTAAGGCTGCACATAGAAACATAAAGCCGTGAGTCCTCTAGGGCAGAAAATCCACCCGTGCTTCACATCTAAATATCGGCTGGTTTTGTCTGAAAAGTGCAACTTAGCAACAGGAGAAAATGCTTCCATGGCTGACTTGCAAGGCTCTTGAGGTCAGGTGCCCCAGAAAGGTTCAGCTAGTGAACGAAGGAGTGGTTTACCATATTCTTCTGCAGTTCCTTACCTGGATATTGTCTCACTACCTGGATATTGTCAGCATGTAATGGTTTACAAGATTTACAATGTGTCTGCTTAATTAGCAATTCCCTCAAGAAAGGGTAGGTAATTGGAGAAGTGTAATTGATACCAGTAAATGTCTCTTACCTCCAAACACTCTAAAAAGGAGGAGAGAAAAGCCAGATGACTATTGCTTTAGTTATAAAGAATATCTCGCCATAAGTGATTGCTTTGGGTTAATTTTAAACAAATTACCTGATAATCCAAAAAAAGATGGAATCTCAAGGAGATTCAAGTTTCCTAATATGGTTAGAGAATGTTGTTGGTTTTTTTTTCCCCAAAAAAATTGTTAAAATGAAGAAAAGCATGGAATGAGTAAAGCTTATGCAAAAAATTCTAGCTTGGTAAATAAGAATAGAAACATTTGTAATACATTTATTTACAAATATTTGCATAATCCAACTCTGATTCCCCCAATTATTTGCCATATATTTTTGTTTAGTTCTTATCTTTCCCCACAGGTAGTACATTTCATTACAAGGCTTGTCTGCTCTTTGGAAAGTCAGGTCTGTATTTATCCAGTCTTTCCTCATTCTCCTGACTGCTTTAGGAAGCAGGACTTCAATATGAGATTTAAAGGGACTGAGCAACTGAATACAGAATAGCTTGAATTTATTGTAGTTTTACTTGTCACAGGGCTTTTGTGAGGAAAAACGCCTTGCATAATTTCTCTGAAGAAAAAAATCTTAAGTGCATCTGACCTTTATCTGACTTTGGAAGCTGTATCGAATGAGTGTGAAGGATTCTGTTTCTTACTGGTATTTGAAGATAATATATCACTCCTTTGCTAGTCATTGTGAATATGTTTATTACTTTTGCGTAGCTAGCTGATTTAGTCATCTGTACTTTAGGAAGGAGATGTAACTTTTCTAGGTCATCCTTTCTTTTAACAAAAAAAGCATAGCCAGACAAAATAAAGGGTGGAAAAAAGTTGGTTTCTTCTCAATAATTCTTAATTTTGAAAAATGGCAAGTGTCCATACTGACTAAATCATGTGGAAAATACTTCCTTTTCCTTAAATCTTTATTGAACCCTGAAGGAGGAAGCCCCTTTTATCCACTCAAATATTATCTACCAGTGAGGTTATGATACTTCCAGGTGCAGATTGTGTGGAGGTCAGTTTAGAATATGGTAATAATGCTGCATAATTTGTATTGGCAAAATAGAACTATACTGTACGACATTCCTTCTTTACTGTAGAACATTTGTGCTTCATCTCACTGTAGTATTTTGGGCACTGTTTTAATTTCGTAACTTTAAATAAAGGGAACTGAAATTACTTAGACTCAAAAATAAAGGTGCCTATAGCCTTTGATTATTTTTTATCATATTTATATAAATATGATTTAAACCCTGACATAGTTAAAATCTGTTTCCTGTGAAATGGGATAGCTTGTTACCTGCCAGCCTGGGAGTTCATGCTCAGCCTTTTTCATAATTCTGTCAAATGGATCTCTCTTGTGGCCAGTCAAAGTAGTAATTGTTTCGAATATCTCAGATTAAGGTTGTGTGAACAAATCTCAGAATCTCTGAATTTCCCTTAGAGAAAGCCCTGTCAGCTGCCATGTCACATATTTGACTCAAGTGTCACTGCTTGCTACAGTGCGTTAGGAAGAAGCAGGGAAGAGCAGGTTTTCAGTGCACGTAAATCAAATACAAAGTCTGTCAATTTTCATGATCAATTTTAAGAGTGAAACTTCTGTAATACCTGAAATGCATTTATTTCTGGGAACAGCATGACTTGGGTTTGTTTTTTTGTTTCGTTTTTTGTTTGTTTCTTTTTTTCCTGTGTCATTCCAAAAAGTAAACACCTATGGGGTATCCATCTTTGTTATCTGTATCTGCAAAGCAATCCAGTTGTATTTCCCTGCCTCTCAGCTTGCACTCTGCTCATAAGCTGTGAACAGGGAGGAACAGGCTGGTATTGGATTTCTTCCATACTGCTGCTTAGGGAATGTACTTCCTGCAAATGCCTTTTCACATGTACAGTAGGTGAAGAGTGTGGAGCGTACACATGTTCTAAATCATCACATTTGGCATACTTAAAATAGTTTGGGCCATGCTACAAAATACTTTTTCTGCAAGGCAGCCTTTGGTGGGCCAGAGATGAGATGTGTGAAGCCCTTCTGCTCTGTCAAGCTTCAGCTGCCCAGTACTGGGGTGGTGAAAGGGTCTTGTTCTTCTGCACTGGAGTTGCAGACCAACCGCAACCTTGTCCAAAGATAAGGTAATTCATGCCAGCCCAGTAAGGCGGGCTAGAGAAAGAAGCATGGCCACGGTTTCCTGGAAAGCTCTACAGATGGCAAAATGTTCTGTTGTTAACTTGTTAACTCATCCACATGAGCACTAGGAGTCCAAAGGGTATTCCTTGTAGGACTGCAGTTTTTAAAGGTTGCCTGGTAACTTTTGCTGTTAACAGGGATGAGAGGCAGCTGCATTGCCTTCTACAACCCTACAACAGCCCAGAACAGAATGGGAAGGTGCACTACGGCAGGCTAAAGGGAGTTCATTCGCAGTCTGATTTGGTCTGCTAGCTTCAACTGGTTTTTTTGGTGTTTGTTTATGTGTGAGGGACAAACAGATGTTGAACCAAAGCAGTGCATTGTGCTACAGCTGTTGGCACTGTAGCCTTCTTTGGCTGTATTGCTCTTCAGCACTTTCTATCCTAATTGGTGTTTGTATTTTTCAAAGGAAGAAGGAACACCAGTATTGATACATGTTGTTATTTAGACTTTTAATGCGGTTCAGAGTTTTGATGACTGATGCAAGATAAAGATGGCTCTACAAGGTTACTTCTCTTAATGGTTAAAATATGATCAAAAGTAGGCAAGTGTACTTTGCTGTGTCTATAACTCCTTCCATGTAGCATTGCCTAAACTGTGCTCCATAATGCTTCTCCTTTATCAGCTCCTTCTTCTTGGTCATCTCTATTGTCAATTAAACATTTGCAGTGAAGTCTACAGTACTGTTTTATCATGTATCATTGATTTAACATAACTCAATGTTTGCAATAAGTATTTGTCAACTAACTATGTAGTTAATGTTTATACTCAGATACCTCATCCCACACCAAAGACTTCTGTTGGTTTTAAATTATGCAGCTCATTGTGGCAGAAATGCATTCCTGAGGAAAACCATGTATTCCCAAAGAATATATTTTATTGCATTAATATGACAAACTCACTGAGCTGGAATAACAGCAGACCTACTTTGATCATGCAGTAAGGAGAAAAATATTAAATAGGTATGTTTAAGATTTGCTTAAAAAGTGTTAGACAAATCTAGGTCAGGGTAAAGCTGTAAGAAGTTACATGTAAGCAAGTACTCCTAAGTATTTGGTATAGTACAAGCTTAACTATGCAGGCTCCTAGTCTTTGATTGTACAAGGTCAGAGTTATTGTGGAGCTCACCATACTGGAGTGCTTAGTGCCTGTTTCCTTGGATGCAGTGTACAATTTAAAATTGGGTTTCTGTGCTTGTAAGGAGGAATTGAGCATCTAGGAATGGGAGTTAGTATATTTTCTTGTGGTACGTATCCTTCTCAGTAGTGTTTTCTATTAGGTTTATGTCTGAAGTCCTACACCTCTTCTGGAGGTAGGTGTCTACATGCAGTTTGAAGTTCTCTCTTTGATTTTGACGTCTTAAGTCATTCCTTTTAAAACTGGAAGAAGTAGGAATGGTCATACCGTCAACTTTTTATACAGTAGGTTACTAGATAAATTGCTTACTTCTGTATTAGAAGAATGGCTCTAAAACCTTGTTGATAGGCAGCCAAGTAAGGCCAGGCAGCAAGGACCGGGTATTGGGGTTGCGTTGGTACTACCAGCGTCAAAGGGACAATAGTTTGGGCTTGAGTATTGCCCCACAGTCATCGGTGGTGTTTCGTCGGTAATGTGTTCCCTGGCATGTTTTGGCCTTTGTCAGCACTTCTCTGGACAATGCCTAGGTAAGATTTGGGGCATGATGCAGCTCAGGGACTATTTTCAACTGCTGGTGTGGATTAGAGGTGGAGAAAGTTTAGCTGTGTGGGTGCAAGCTGTGCTTTGTCACTTGCCCTCAAGGCCTTAGGGCAGGCCGTGGCTCGTTGTGTTACCGACTACAGCCATAGTCGTGGGTTCAATCACATGAGTGACTTCAGCGCTGGCAAATGAGTCATGCATTCCCTTGCTGTCTCTCCTCTAGGCTCCGGGAGTCATACATGTTTCTGCACAGCAGCCAGTTTCTCTTAGAAAAGCTAGTGTATGTCAGACTCGCTCCTTTCATGCCTACTAAATTTTGCCTTTCCTTAGATATAGGAGTATCTAATTTGTGAATGAGGGACAGCCTTGGGCACAAAAAAATGCTTGGCTTACCCAGAATGACAGCATTTGCAAGCACACTCACTGGCAGGATAGGAAGCACCTAGGGAAATTCACTGGTGTAAAGACAGGCACCTCAGGAATTGCAGGCATCAGATTGCTCTTGCAGACATCACCCATCTCCTGTGATCTTCTGGATTTTAGGCACCTAGTATCCTGCCTCAGCGTGGAGGTTGCTATGGACAATGATTCCTAATGTGGAATTTTCTAGGGTTTTTCTTACAGGGGAAAAAGTGTGCCAAGGGTCACCAAACTATGCCATTTCATGTGCTCGCCATGGTCCTTTTGAAAAAGTTACGTTAGGAGGGTGCAGCTTTAACCTTAAAGAAGGAACTGAGAATTGGTTTTGAGGTTTTCTGTCTGTACATACTAAATATATTTCTGCTTGCATCATGAGCGTGTTCCAGAAGCGTGTGTGATGAGAGAGAGGTCGCTGCCACTGCTACTGCTTGGCGTGATAGTGCTAAAGGATCATACTGGTTCTGCTGCATGTGCTCTTTTTTTTTTTTAAGGTCATGAATTAGCTCTGACACTTCAGCTGTCAGAGCTGTGGCTGGAAAGCCTTCTATGATTTTGCCTTTATGATACAAGGCACATTCTTAGAAGTCTGTAAGGTAGTTGCTTTTTGGGTATTTGTGGGTATATCAGAGAGTATCATATATATATGTTTATATGCTTTTTTAGTTTGAGCATATACACACACACACTTTTTTTAATAAATGCATAAATAAAGTATGTAAGAGTGTTTCTCCCATGCCTTTCTAGTACTCCTGAAGAGTTTCCTTTTATAGAAATTGTGCTGTGCTTTTTGAGGCTTGAAACTTTTATCTGCCTTAACAGCTGAAGGCAAGTTGAAAAACCAGGAAAGATACTGAATGATAGTCTCCACTGTCTGCACCATTGCTTTGAAAGTCTTCCCTGCCACTCCTATTTATCATGAAAATGACTCAAGCTGTTATTCATGCTTGGGTGTTACCACCTGAGCAAATCCTCTAGGCTACTGGAAGACAACACTTAATGCTGAGGTCCTGCATTTCCTGCTTTTGTCTGTGTTGGCAATGTGTTCACTTCTTGGTAGGCACTCACTAAGTGTACAAAACACCCACTGGGGTTGTAAGATACTGGTTATGTTAGCACAGTATTAACGGATTTATCTGTTGCAGGTATACCAAGTCAGCCCAACCCTTAAGATGCTATTTTGATTCAAGTACAAACACGACCAAAGGGATTACCTAAGACACAGCAGCTTTGCGGAGTTTTCATTCTGTGAAATTTGGATGCCATTCTTGATTAAGGATTTAAGTTTTTCTGTACTTCATCTACTGCTTTAAAGTATAGAGTTTCTCTACATTGTTAGACTTCTATAACTTAGGTATTTAGGCTCCCTCTACACTTGAGACAGAGCTGCGCTTCCAGAAAGCAAATCATTCTGTTTATCTTAAACAAGTATTTTACGATGGAATTATTCACTTTTTGAAGGTACCTCTCTCCACCGACTGTGGAGAGCATCTGTCTCAATGACAAACCTAAACTAGATGTTTGTCTGTTAAGGTTAGTAGAAATGAATCTTATGCTTAATACTAGTCTTCATAACTGCGTTTCCCCCTTCCTTTCAGCATTAAGGGGATATTAACAAGAGGTAATTAATTACACCTAGTTTTGCTTTAGGTGACTATTTGTGCTATAGATCTCACCTATCATCACTGTTGTGGTTTCTGTTCCTGCAGAGATCATGTACTGTTACCAGTGTGGCTACAGAAGCAGAGGATGTGTTATGATCTCTCTGGCTGTAGATTTACAGCTGTAACAGGGAGCTGGGTTTTATAGACTCTGCTCAGTGGAGCTTGCAGCTCTGTTGGTGCAGTATAAAGATATTTTCCCTGTGTCTACACTGGTTCCAAGTACAGAGTTAGCCACAGAAATAAGACTTGGTTAGCATGACATACTTTTAGTCTTTTTTCTTAAGGTTGCCTTGATTATTAGTAACATTTTAACAAAAAATAGTGCAATCATTCTCTGGGAATCCTTGCTTTTCAAGTTTTTTTTATATTGTCCAATGTTTTGGTGGTCATACCACGGCTGTAGGACTTTCATTTTAGTCCTACTCTGTTTCTAGATGGTTTGAACTTCAGCTTTCCATCCTGCAGCATTGCAATATCTGCATTGCAAATACTTCGTAGGAATTTTTAAAGGTTGCCCATGAGGAAAAAATATATTAGAATTCAGGGAGATACACTTGCAGTTCTTTAATTTTGTAAAATGTCGCTGAATTGGGGCAAATTTGACGTGGCTGTCTCCTTAAATACAAAAGTAAATAATGCTTGGGTTAAATTCTGCGGCCATATCCCTGCTGCTGCTTCCTTGGATGGGATTATGCTTTCTAACTTTGTAGTTTTGTGAATCTTTGTAGTGAAACAAAACTGGTGAAATGGGTAGAATGAAGTTTTGTTTTGTTTTGTTTTGTTTTTTGTCTTGTTTATTTTATCTGAGCCACAGTCCTGAATAGCTGTCATATGCTTTTATTGCTCTTTCTATCCTTATTGCTGTGTTATTTGAGCCTTTCCGTACTTAACTTTTCTATGCAAGATAGAATTAGCTTCTGTTAGGAAGCAAAGTAGATGCCAAACAAACATTCTAATGTGGGGCTTTTTTTTCAGCTAAATGCTCAATTTTCAAGCTCTTAAGGGGATAACAGTATCTTGTCAAACTCAAACTGCCAAATTATGTCATTGGAAGTGGGTTTTTGTCTCTCTGCTTGCTGCGTTTCCTTTAAGTTATTGCAGGCATAAATGCATGGGTTTTGTTTTGGTTGGTTGGTTGGGTTTTTGTAGGCCAAATAAGTGCTTTTGTGCCTGCTTTTATACTGTATAAATGTATGGTATTTCAGTTATATGTTTGTATCACTGACTGTATGTCTTACAGTAACTTTCCAGTAATAAAAAGTCCTTGTCAGGGATGAAGGTTCCCCCTGTTTACAACTGTTGAGTGGGCATAGTGTTCACCATCCTCCAGAAAGGTAATCCCTCTAGGTTTTGTCAAAGCTCTTCATTTGGGTTGGGTTTGCTTGTCAGAGTGCCCGTGGTACAGCTGAGTGCTGTGCCACTAACGGCTGGACTTGTGTGCGTGGTCTTCTCCTGAACCCCTGAGCAGAGACTTCAGGCTTACCCAGTTAGACTGTACCTAGTCTGAACTTGGCTTGGGTAAGCACTTGTCCTGGTTTTGGCTGGGATAGAGTTAATTTTCTTCCTGGTAGCTGGTATAATGCTGTGTTTTGGATTTAGTATGAGAATTGACAGCACCTGAACTGTCATCACCCTGTCCTTCCCATTCGGGAGTTAGCCTGCCCAGAACAGAGCCTGTGCTTGGCATGCTCTATCTGTGCCTGTTGCACCTTCCAGCAGCTCAGAGGAACTCACAGATCTTATTTGGACAGAAATAGCTGCAGTTTTTCTTTTTCTTTTTTTTTTTTGCACTTACCCACCCACAGGAGCATGTGAAACACAATATGAGCATGCAGTATAAATGGTAAAGTTTCTTTCATGCTTAAAAAGTGTTAAATAACTTAAATAAACAAATAGACCAAGAGTTTTTGATTTGGTTTCATTAATGAAGGATATTTTTGTTTGGGCTGAAAAGGCGGATATTTTGGTACTTGCTTCGCCATCTGTATTCTCATTTTTTTGCCATGTTTTGCTATATACTTAACAAATTTCTCCATTAAGAAATATCTGCATGCCGTGGGTACTTTTTTCATTTCTTCATAAAAGCATCAAAGTTTTATTATAGATGCTCCCAACTTTAGTCAAGTGTAGTTCTTGATGCTGTGATGAATGGTAAATTTTTCTAATCCAATATCTCTCCTTAGTGACCAGGAGTGTCTTCAGTTTTTATTACATGAATAATTGCTTTTAGAAAGTGCTTACCAGGATTAACTTCCAAAAATTAGTAGATCTAATGTTGCATAATTTTACAGAAGGGTGAAGACTTGGAACTAATGTGTATAATTGACTTCCTTTCATAAAGCAGCAATTTCTGCAGAATTCATCTGAAAAGCAGAAGACTTTAAACAGCCACAGTTGTTTTCATGTGAGATAGACTTAATATTATTCCCAAGATAATGACATTAATTTTTGGTGCCTCCTGTTACTAGCATTGTTACTTAAGAATTTTTTTCTTTAAGGCAGCAACTCACTGTTTAAAAAACTGGAGTTAGGGCAAATCTTAAAGCTATGTGTGTGGAAAAGTATTCTTTTATCTCTTCATAAAAAGATAGGAACTTCTTTTGTCATTGCTTGTGGTTTGATTCTCATGTTTAAACTGTAGAAAACTTATCCCTTCGTTAGTGCAGGACAGCTTTCAGTTTTGTTTTAACTAGAGTGGACAGACTGCTTGTTAAATAGAAAAAGTAACTTTAAATCTAAATTCTCAGTTCTGGAATTCTTAGTTTTCCAATAAAATGGTAGGTTTTGCAGAAGACCAGATGATGTTTGCAAGGTTCTTTTTGCTTCTCTTAATTTTGTGATAAGTTCAGTTTTCTTACTGGAAAAACTGGGCTTACTTTATAAGCAGTTGTATAACAGGAACTGGATGGGGGGAGGTGATAAATGTGAAAGATTGCTTCAGTGTCAAAGCAGAATTAGAGGATTAGAACAAACTTCTCCATCCAACTTCTTGCAGAAGTATTAGACTGTGCAAGCGTGGCTTTCTGAATTTGCGTTCATCTTAAATGAGCTCCGTTGAGTACATTCTGAAAACGTGCTAATTCAGTGATTGTCAGTTGTATTTACACAATTTTTTCAGCACTCTGATAATTGGATAACAAATGTAGTCCAGGCACTTACAACTTCCAGATTTAGAATCGTCCTGATTTACATTTTGCCTTAGCTTTTGAAATCTATCCTTTCATTTGTCAGTGGTGCTCAAATGCCAGTAACTCTGAGGTATAAATGATAATAGTCTAGCAAAAAAGGGAACTTGTCAGGATTTACAGGTCTGCCCAAGTGCAAGAACCTTATAATACTACATCTACTGCTGGAAAAGTATGAACAAATTGCTCTTTATTGATAAAACTCCTAGAAGATAACTTGGAAGAATGAATAATGCTAGAGGATACTATGCTCAAGTGGGATTTTCAAAATTACCAATCTCAGTAAACCGCTTTGGGTTCACTGTAGTTTTAGCTGAGTTCTTTATGTAACTCTGAAAATCTCATCTTTGGTGATGATGCTGGTTGAAATTACAAATGAAAATTGCTTTCTCATTTGCTAGAGAGGACGGAAGACTGTGTAATCAGGAGCGATATGAAAAGGCTGAATGGCAATCAAGTACTCCTTGCCTCTTCCAAAAGAAATGAGGAGGCAGTAATGAAACTAGTGGATTTGAAACAAAAGGAGGTTTGTTTTTTTTAGTTTTGTCCCCCAACCCCCCGTGAACTTTTTACTGCAGAATGCTGTGGATGTTAAAAAGTTTACACGAATTCAAAGGGAGGCAGGACAAGCTCACAGAAGAAAAAATTTCAGTGTTGCTGAACACACAAACACATCTGACCCAGAAAGTCCTGAGATACAGCTGGTGAAGTGGGACAGCACTTGGAGGAGAGAAAGCCTTGTATGCCTTGCCTACTGTTATCTTCTTCCCCAGGCATCCAGCCTTGGCCAAATGTTGGAGGCAGGACTGTAGATTAGCTGAATATCTGGGGTCTGATCCAGTACAGGCATTTGTATCTTCTACCTGATCTCGCGAGCTCTTTTTCAACCTTTGCATTTCTATGACTGAGGTTACTTTCTTAAGAAATAAAAGTTTGGAGGTTGACTCCAGTTAAGGATTTCTTACCTGTGTGAAGTATCCTCTATATTTTTTTTTAAGCACCTTTAGATGAAAAATGTAAAGAAGTATTTGACTTGGTATTTCTTTAAATGTCAGAGACATGTATATTGACTTGTGTTCTGTTCCTGAGAAAGCCAGAAATTAAAATTTCAAGCTGAATATAAAAAGTATAAAATAGAAAATCTTTTGCTTTTAAAGTAATGGTATGTTGAGGAAAATCAGAAGTGTTGATAGAAAGTTTGTTTCTTTTTCCTTGTCTTTTGAAACTGCTGGTTAATTATCTAGTTATCAATGGCTGCCTACCCTGGTTTAGATCAAAACCATCACTCTGTAGATGAAGAAACCAGGCTACAGAGAACAAATTTATAAGTTTTGATGCTAAAACTGAACTTCTAACCCCCCCTGCATAGGCATATGAGTAAAAATAATGTACTTTTAGGAAGTACTGGATGCCACACATTCAGATGCTCAGGAGCTCTGACAATATAAACCATTTTTATTTGAGATGCCTAGGCATGACTTAGGAGCATAACTTCTCATCTAGATTGAAATTTTGGCATAAGCTCTTACCAGAGGGACAGAAGAGTCGGTATCAAAGGCAGGAGCAGAGGGAAGGAGTGCGGCTATTCAGAAATGTACCAGTGAAAACATTGCTCCATCCACAGCTGTTCAGGATGATCGTGTTGCAGAACCAGAAAAGGTGGAGAAAACCTTGTCCAGTCCTGAATAGCTGGTAGCTTGGCTTTATATCAGCTTGTTGTGGGAGGTACAGGTTCACTCCCCCTCTTCTGAATCAGTCAGACCAGGAATTTCTCAAGTAATGGTCAGATTCTCTAAATTACAGATGTAGCTTTTTTGACTGTGTTCTTTTTTGGTTTGTTTTGTGTGTGTCGTCCCCGTGTCCCCCCCCCCGGGAAAGAGTGAAGTGTGTTTGATTACAAAGAATATAAAGCTTCCTCAAACAGTTTCGATGTTTTGTGTGTCGTCCCCGTGTCCCCCCCCCCGGGAAAGAGTGAAGTGTGTTTGATTACAAAGAATATAAAGCTTCCTCAAACAGTTTCGAGATAGCAAGCTGTTAACTGGTCAGAAAGCTATTGTACTGTGTTGCGCTACGCTATCGCAAAAAGCAGAAGCTACTGCCCTGGAGAGTGAGTGCAAGGCAGAAAGAGCTACTCTGCATGCTTCCCCAGGCTCTTTGAGCTAATACACCAAGGAAAGACTGGTTTAAAGGGGAGTACCCCTACATGCGACTTTATCTGCTTGTTCTGCTTTTAAGTCAGTGATTTTTTTTTTTTTTTTTTTTTTTTTTTTTTTTCCTTCCCCTCTCCTTCCCCCTGCAGTTTCATGATCTCAGAAAGAGCAGCTTCTCTTTACCAGGGTGAGGCTCCGGGGTGTTGGCTGCTGTTGCTGAACAAGTTGTCACTCAACCAAGTAACAGCTTTGGCAAGCTTGGGGAGAGTAGTAGCCTAGGAACATAGCCCAGCAGTGACATGAAGGGCTTTAGTCTCAAAGTCTTTGGAGGCAGTCTAATATTAAACAGGCTCTTTAGAGAGAGATGCATTGAGACATTAGAGATGCCTATCCGGCTTTTGACCTTTGGATTTGTCAGTCAGTGGCATATGGAATACGTACAGAATTTCTACTCATGCTGGGGGTTTCGTGCATTTTTCTGAAGTTGTATATGAATCAGAGGAGTTTAGGATTCCCGACTAAGATAACTGCCTATTTTCAGATATTATGCAGACATTTATATCTATGCTATCTTTGTAGCTTAAGCTCATACCATTTGAATTTTCCTTTCATAAGTTGTGTGGATAAAGATTTAAAATGCTGTTAAATTTAAAATTCAGTCGGCATTAGTTTCTAGCAGTCTTTGAGTAACTCAGTTTTCCAGTAGTACTAGGCAATGTACAGTTGATTTATAACAATTAAGCAAAAGCTTCGGAAAGGGAAGTAAATTCAATCGGATAACATACATACTCTGACAGCTCAATATGCATTTTCTCCAACATTGATTTGCGCTTCCGTATACTGCCCTGAAGTAAAAATGCCTCAGTGCTATAGCTGTGTTGCAACTCACTGCCCAAAATCTAAAGTGCAAATTCATTTTAACTCAGTTCTTATTCTTGACTCCATTGTTTTTGGGGAGGAAAAACCAACACTTACTACTTATTTTTACTTTTTAAATATTTATTTAATTTTACAGCGATGTTAAATTAATTTTGAGAAAAATGTACACAATGTTCTAATAGCTGGGAAACATACATAGCAGGACGTCTTAAAGCACTCTTGTCTATATATTTCTGTTTGTAACAGTAATATATGTAGATTTCTCCTTTTACACGGCTTTAACTTTTCAAAGTGTCTCGATTAATTTTGCCAGCACGTAGCCCCAAGTAATTTATTTTTATACTTTATAAAGTTTGCAAGAAAATAGCATTTGAAATTTTAAATGCTCATGTTAAAAATACTCAAAGATTGAGAGGAAGTTTCACTCTAAAAACTACCATGTCTTAAATTTCTTTATGGGACACCAAATAGTTTCCTAGAAGAAATATTTGGGTTGGTGCACATGCTCATTTCTAGTTAGCAAAGGTCATGTTTTTCTAAGAGACTACTACCTTGAGATTGAATTACCTTATTTGGAGGATGTTGTTTTGCTCAAAAGTCATGTTGAGTTGAAGAACTTCTCAGAAAAGAGTTTAATGAAGTGGTACTGTACCTAAAGCACTAACTCAGTCATCAGAGGTTATTTTGTTATAATTACACAGACATCTGAGACAGAGGTGAGAAGAAAAACCAGTTTGTCTGAGTTGTTTCCAGATGCTCTAAACTACCAGAAGATTTAATTGCTTTATGGGGGCCAGGCTTGTGGAGAGAGCATATATTTTATCAGATAAACCTGGGAGAAATGAAGTTCTTGCAGCCCATTGACTGAAGCTTCCTATGAATGTAATGGTCCCTAAGAAGGAAGGTGCAGGGAGAGAGACAGGAGGGAGGAGTAAGATAGAGAAGCAGAAGCTCCGGAGCAGGCACAGTAGCTGAAGTGGTATGATCAACATGGTGCTGTTTTCCGCGGCAACTGGGTCCTGCAGTGTAGACCAGTCAGTCTCACCCCCGTCCTCAGCAACTTGGAAACCTATATCATTATAAAAAATGAGCAATTGTTTTAACTTCAGAAAAAAACCCACCTACTTTTTCCTTTGTTTTTGACTTGACAGACAGTCTTTGGACTTCGGTTAACCTAATCTGAAACCAAAAGTTCGTTTCTAACATACAACCTGTCAGAACAGACATCTGACATAATAAATTCTTAAAATACTTTTTCTGTGTACTATTATGCTTAACACTTTTACAGTCTTATAAACTTTTCTGATGTGAAGGAAGTGTTACTTTTACATATCAGAATATATTTCCACAGCTGAAGAAATGTGCAGGCTTCTAATTCCAGTTTAGTCCCAGTAGTCTTTTAATACAGCTTATATTGTAGAGTCACTGTCAAATATTTTCATTTTTATGGTCTGAAGGCTGTGTTGAATGAAGTTTTCCGAAACTGGCCTTTCGGAGAATCTGATGTCCCGTGGTCTAGTGGACCGGTTCTTTTTTATTGAATTTTGAATTGTATCTGACGTAAAGTAATAGACTATAGGGTCAAAACAGCAGTTTGAAACGGCAATGCACAGAGTGATGGGGTACATAGTCCTGACTGCAGTTACCACTGAACAATTAATCCAGGTCTGTGTTCTCATAAGGGAGTAAAGTATTAAGGTAACGTTATAAGGCACAAAGCAGAAGCAGAATATCACCAAATGGACAAAAATCATTTTGAGTACCTTTTTCTTGCTTAATTTATTCCGACTTAATGTAAGCGGTTTATTCAAAGTCCGTAAGACCATAGTAGAGCAGGTCATGTTCAAGATGAGTGGAATAAAAAACCCAACTATTTCAATGAAGATAACAATCCGGGATAGGTAGGTTTTCCATGTGTCCTCTGAAAAGTTTTCAAAACACGTTCTTTGTTCAGTATTATTACGGCGGTTAGTAGACTGGAAAAAGCTTGCTGGTGTGCTGCCTGCTAACACGGTTATCCATACTGCAGCGCAGACAATTTTTGCGTTCCTTTTGGTTCGGAGAGTCTTAGATTGAAAGGGGTGTACTATAGCTAAAAAGCGATCTACGCTTATGCAGGTCAGAAATAAAATGCTCCCATACATATTTGTATAAAAGAGGGTGACAGAAATCTTGCAGAGAATGTCTCCAAATGGCCAGTTTCTCGCTACAAAGTAATAAATCCTGAAGGGTAATGTAAACACAAAAAGCAGATCCGATATTGCTAAATTAAGCATGTAAGTTGTAGTCTCATTTCGCACTTTTAATGTACAAGTAAAAATGTAGATAGCAACACAGTTTGCTATGAGGCCAAGAACAAACACCATACTAAAGATACACCCATATAAAGTATATTTAAAGGAGTCCTCAGTGGAACAATTAGAGCTTACCATTATAATGGTATATTTAAAATTCCTGTGATTTGGAGGTTTCTCTGGTATTTTTATTGCAATTTTTTTTAAATTCCAGAAGAACTTGCAGATGTATTTGAACTGTGTGCTTTGTAAGTTTGTTGCACTGTAAAGCTTCAGAGAAGAAACACAAGCTCTGTAGCAGGGGAGTGCATCTCCAGCAGTAATCGCCAGCAGGTCACTCTTCTCTTCCAAGTGCTATTTGTAATCACATAGCCAGTCTTCGAAAGTCAAAAAACATATAGTTTGTGGCAGATGAGGTCATCCCAAAGCTTGCTTAGTTCCATTTTCCCCCTCGAGTCGATGAAGCTGTTGTAGAACTTTCTGCCTTATTCTTGGCTGCAGATCATGATGGCAAAGTCTTGTCCATCCAAATTTACTGGGAACATATGCTTTAGAAAACAATTTCCTGGACACCGCAAAGTGTCGGCACTTGCATTTCTCCCTCAGCCTTCTTTCTGTAAAATGAGCTCTTTCGGCTCCTCGGAGCGCTTGCTCGCTCGCTCGCCCCACGGGCGGGAAGCAAGCTGCTTGCGAGGGCAGAAATGAAATTCCAGAGCGTGTTTGTTCCTGCAGAGCACGGCCCTCACGTCCTGCGCCCCGGCAGCCTCTCGCCAGCCCGGCTCCTTCTGGAGAGGAGAGAAAAGAGCTCAGGCAATTTGTAGCATGACATCACAGGAAGAAGAGGTTGGACTCGCTGAGGAATGGTTTCAATTCAGTTTGTTTGCCTTCCCCTAATCTGATAATGTGTCTGCTGGGACTGTACCTTGCAGGCGTGCAAATGGTCACCAGCAGAGTGCTGCTGCTGCAGCTGCAGCCTCCTGTTAACTCTTTCCGTACTCCCTGAAAGGTCCTTTGTCAACGTTGCTGGAGTCCAAAAGCTTCATCGCAAAATCTTTTTCTTTGGTTATGAGGAGACTTTTCAGTGTCTGAATAACTCTCGCGCCTTAAGATTCCTGTTTTTCTTTGGAGATAGTAGTAATTGTGGGATTTTATATTTTATGTAGGATTGAACTAACGTTACTTTTTTCTATAGATACCTTTGCTTGTGATAGATAACACATTAATCACCACGAATCAGCTGAGTAATTCTATCTTGATTCCCTCAATACACCAGTACAAACTGCAGGAGGGACAAAGTAACATCGATAGGTAATTAAAGAATTTCACTAAATATTTACTGAAAGAGAGAGGCATAAAGATTATGAACCTATGGGTTGCTCTTGGATATTCCCAGGACTGAGATGTGTTGCAGTGGGAGGAGAAATTTTTAACTTGTTCCGTATTAGAAAGCATAACCCAAGCTCTAGTTCTAATCAGAAAGATGGTTCTTTTTACAAAAAAAACTTCATTTTTTAAAAAAATTTTGTGGTACAGAAAGCATTTTATTCAATATGTAAGCACAGAATTAATATACCAAAGTAAATACTGCGCTATGCAATTGTTTCTAATAATTTAAAGGAGGACAGTTATTGCACATGCACAAAATACTCCCATTAGTCACTGATTAATGAAATGAAAACATGTTGTAACTAATTAAATTGTTAAGTAAATATAAAAAAAGCAGCTCTTATTGCCTTTAGGGGCAGATATGAGATAAATCTCAGTTTAGACAGATTCATTCATTTAACAACAGCTTGGATAGACTCAGTTCTGGCATCAAAACCTGTCTATTTCTAAGTCTTAGAATAACAAATCTCTTCATATCTGGCTGGGTGGCATGGTTCTTTTGAACTAGATTTTAATCAGTTGTACCTAAGCAAGGCTTTGGGCAAAACCTTTCTAGTCTGCTGTAAAGGAGAGTAAATAATAGCACTTCACAGGGTTTTGGCATAGTTTCTTAATGTAAGGTATGTCAGACAAAATTTAGAAACATGCAAAAATGGGTCTTGCTTATTTTATTTCAAGTTTTCTTGATAAGTTTCTTCTGTGAAACTCTTTCACCTTGATTTTGAGGTGAAATCAAGCAGTTTCACTTCAATAGCCTATAACCACAAGAAACCTTTTTGACTATTTTTGAAATTTATACTTAACCGTAAAGCGTAGTGCATTTTCCATTTCTAAGTGAGCAAGAAATGAAAATGTGAGCTTGGCAGAGTCTCTTGTGTATCCACTTTAACTTGTACCTTAGCATAAAGTTGCCTTACTTGGCTTTCCTCACAAAAGCAGTCATCACACGTGGTTAAATTTTGTTTCTATTGCCAGCAGACTTGCATGGTGAAAGGGGAGTTTTCCTGGAAGAGTCCCCGAGTTCTGCATCGGGCTGTGGGAGCTCTGAGCTCGCTTTTCCTGCTCCGGCTTAGTTTGCACAGGAAAACTGTGTGGGGCAGGCTCAGTTACTGGAGTAAAAATCCCCGAAGTATAGAAATTGGACATGACGTGTCAAAACCTCAAGCAATAATTCACGTTTAGAGAGAGAAACTAATGGAAACGAGTATGTCTCTCTTATTCATTAGTACTTGATTTTCCGTTTGGGCAAAGGTGTGGGTGCACAGAGACGGGGTGGGGCTGTCTGACCAGGGGCACTGTCCATTTTATCACGGTAAATGTGCTTTAGAGCAATCGTGAAGGTGCATCCTCAGCCTTCAATTCGTCCATCGGAGCCCCTGCCTTGCTGTGGCCTGTGTTGTTGCTCCTGTTACGAACATGAGCACTACTCAGAACTGTATTTTAGGGGCTTGGGTATATGCTTCTGTTGTCTTTGGGACTTTCTCTTGCCTCTGCACCTTTTTGGTGCAGAACAGTACGTGCACTTTACACTAATTGAAGAACTAAGTGATATTTGTATACTTCCAGAAATAGCATTCAGCTGCAGGTTTCTCCACCTGCAGAAGAAAATTTGAAAATCTCGAGTTGACAGGTTTTTACTTCGTATCATGTTTCAGTGAGGAGGTGTATGACTGAGCGGGCAGTCTCAGTCATTTTAGTGTAAAAGTGTGAATGGCAAAGGTGAATTGCATACCCATTCTCTTAATTTAGACGTGGTTGATTGTTATCAAGCAGTGATTTAATTTGTGTGAGCTTCTCCGAGCTGAAGAACCTGTGTTAGTGCACCGCGAGCCGTGGGAGTCAAGAGCAGCCTCCCTTCTGGCCGGGCTCCAGCATGAGCGGGGAGGAAAATTCATCGCGCGCTTTCCTTTCGTTGGATCACATTTCAAGATATTGGGCTCTGTACCGTCAGATTTGGAAAAGCCTTCAGTAAGCCCCAATGCTTTAAAAAATAAAAAAAAAAGTTTATCAGTTATTATGGAGGAAGAATTGACGTGGTAATGACCTTACTTATGCTCCTTCACCATGGGCAAATTTTCCTTTGTGATAGGGAGGGAGGGTAGGCAGGAGGAAGCAGCTGCAGGGAGGGCCCTGTACGCTGAGGTTTTTTTTTCTCCAAAGGAAACGATGCTGCCACTGCAGGGAGATGCATATGTAAGTCTGTCTGCCTTTCTGCATCAGAGACGGGAATGAGTTAGGACCTGTCATTTATTGCTAGATGAGCAAAGACTGCATTTCCATCAACAGGCTTCCTGTGGCTCTTGAAGAGGCATTGAAGGCAGAGTGAGCATGGGCTCCTTGAAGCTAAGAACTGATGAGATGCTTGAAATCATCTCTCACTTCAGCAGTGAACAGATTTCGTACACTCCTTCAGTCAGTTACCACTTAACTCTGCTTATGAGAGTTTAGATACCTGAGTTTAGATATCTAGGACTCTTTACACCCTTGAGTGATCTTGAATTTGTGTGGCAAACCTATTCCAGTGTTGAACAGGGGGTCAGAAGGAAAAGTCCTTATAACCCTAGCAGTGTGCTAGTAGAGCGGCTGTAGGACACTGCCACCAACAGCTGCTGCTTCCTGCTACCCCTACATGCCATAGAGTTGGATACTTGCTCTCCTCTAGGATACAGGGGCAGGATCTCTTAAATTCAGAAGTCCAAGTTGAGTGGTAAAGAGGTATTTCACTGAAATAAAACAAGTACTGGAAGGCTTTCCAAGCCTTAGGAGTTGTTTTGGCCAGTGTTGTGTGTTCCTCTGGTGTTACCCTAGTCTTCAGTGCTGGAATCAAACAGAAGTTGTAGTCAAAGGTGAAATGAATTTTGAACTTGTCTTGTGTACCGCATTTAGTCTGGTACTGATGCTATTACTAAAAGCTCTTTCTTACTTTAGAGGAAAAAAAAAACTTCAACATTAATAACGTTGTAATAAATTCTTACAGTGCTTCCAAAGCTAGAGTATGCACTGTTAAATGAAGGTTCTGAGATGCACAAAATGTGTATGTAACTCCATTATTCTATAACTAACGTTACTGCTTTTAGAGGCATGACTGTATCATGGTGCAGGCATTTGTTCTTACTTTGGTTAAGCAAGCTTATGCAAAAGAACTTGTGCTATCTGTTGCAGTGAAGACAAACCCTGGCAGGACAGTATTTTCTTTGCCCTAAGTGTTGTTATTTATCCAATCGTTTTCAAGGGGTTTAGCATTTTTAGTCTATTTACTGGAGTTTCTCTTTGAGCGTGTGTGTGTACAGGAAGGAGTTTATTATGGTTGAGACATAGGGCTGGGAGCCAGGAAGTCTGTTTCTGGCTGTGCCACAGTTTTTCTGTTCCAATCCTGGCAAAGTTTTCTATGACTTTGTGCTTTAGCTTCCTTCCGTGTAAGAGCTTGTTCACTTCCTCACTGGGATGCGAGGCCATCTTAATTGTTAAATATAGTTTGAAGTCCTTGGATGGAGAACCGATTATTAACTATGATTTTGGGATAATTACAGTGGCTAGTGAATGTGATAAAAATGTAGGAAGATTAAAATTTTGTATTTTTAGATTAGATTCCTGCCAAGCAAAAGGATGTATTAAAATACTTCACTTGATTCAACGCCATAAGTCTATGGGGAAGTAGGTGCAGGGAAAGCAGGGCTGGGAACTTTGACCTTCTCAGCTACCTTTCAGGAGCTGCCTGCTCAGACACTCATAACTCACTTTAACACTGCTTC